CAGGGTACAGGCGGTACAGGTTTAGGGTTTTGGGTTGATGTTTTTTTGTTTACAGGGTGGGTAATGAGGGGGTTGCAACACTTATTCAATGCCTTCGGGGTTGTTCTGTTTTAATTCAGGGGCCTTGTAGGAGTTTGCAAAAGGGGTTCGGTAAAGGGCTTTCGGGTTTGGTACAAGGACCTAGGGAGCTTCTTCAAAGACGGAGAGAAGAAAGTCCAGAGACTAGCCCTAATCCTAAGTGGCCTTGGGGGCTGCTTGCGAGCGTTTGAGGGGACCTGATGTTCCCCGGGCTGACAGGATTTTAGGCGTTGCCTGGCTGTGAGGGTTGATAAAGTCGAAGGCCATCTCATTGATGTTGGCAGGTAACACTGCAGCACCACGGAACGAAAGGCGCATGAGGGTACTCACACGCAAGATTGTGGCCACGCGAAGGCCCCCTTACAATGACATGTTAGTAGCACCTTTAAGGTCTTACAGCAGCACCTTTAGCAATGGACGCAGCAGCCACGTTCTTAGTGTTCGCACACCCAGGAAACATCCAGAAAGTAGAGCCCGCCAATTGGGTACCTTACATACTGCCATTGGGCAACTTTCAGCAACATTTAAAGGCGATCGACTTTTTGGCTCCGCCCCGGGGTCTTGGCGGCTGCTAGCTTCTGGCAGGTACGCTCAGCTGCAGCGCTGTGTTGACCTGTCAAGCAGCAACGTCGGCCTGCTGAAGGAGCTAACGACGGCCCCACGGCGGAATGCTTGAGGGTCTAGGGTACCTTGTCTGGGGCTCCGAGTACAGCACGGAGGCCGTTTATGTATGGTGTCAGCCCTAAACCCTAAACCCTAAACCCTAAACCCTAAACCCTAAACCCTAAACCCTAAACCCTAAACCCTAAACCCCAGATCACAGTTCCGGCAAGGGAGGGCAAGGTCGGGCTAGGCACCCAAAACCCCAAACCCTGAACCCTCAAACCTTGGGATTAGGGATTCTAATAGGGGGCACTAGAATCCCTATTAAGGACTGCTAGTATAAGGGGGAACATCCGAAACCCTCAACCCTAAACCCTAAACCCCAAACCTCTGCTGCCAGGCTCTCACCCGCCCGGTGGAGTCCGACGTCGCTCGCCAAAGTGCGAGCTCTGAGAGTGAAGGAGACTGAAAAAAGAGTTTGGGTTTAGGGTTTAGGGTTTAGGGGTTTAGGGTTTAGGGTTTAGGGTTTAGGGTTTAGGGTTTAGGGGTTTGGGTTTAGGGTAGTTTACGGTTTACATTACACGGCGAACTACATTGATTGTATCCAGGTTGGTAGTGTCGAGAGATTGGATGGGAAACCGGATGATGACCCAGAAATCGAGAATTTAAGAAACACCGCGAATGCAAGCATGCATCACAGATACATTCAGACCCCATCAGAGCCCGAGCTTGAAACCTTTAAGGAAGCACTACACGCAAAGCATCGCAAAGAGAACGAGTGTTGGTTTAATATGATAACTGACTGGGTTAAGGACACCCTTATGGGAGAAAAGAGACGGGAAAGGACCGATTGACAACAGAAAGCATGTTAAAGCTAATGAACAAGACCGAGGATGATTCCAAAAACGAATGGGGCTGCGGCATCCAAGTTGGATCTTGAGCTCGTTCTTTAATCCTAAACCCTAAACCCTAAACCCTAAACCCTAAACCCTAAACCCTAAACCCTAAACCCAAAAACCTAAACCCTAAACCCTAAACCCCGTGTCCCCGCGAAGTATGACAACGTACCGACCTTCTAGGCTAGAGCTAAGAATGGCCCACACGTACTCCGCAAATGAGAACTTGCAATATGCTGGGCTTAGGGTTTAGGGTTTAGGGTTTAGGGTTTGTGTATGGGTCTACGGTGGCCTCTGGTGGGTCGTGCTGTTGAGTTTCTCTCGGGGGTGTTGTGAAAGGGTTTGGGTTTGGGTCTGTCATACGGCCGTGTGCGGTGACAACATGAACCGGGTGCAGACCCCTTGGAGCCCTGAACTCAAAGACTCCGAAAGCGTGTGCCTTTTCACGCCGGAGTGAGGTTTCGCGCTTTCGGGGCTGGGTTTAGGGTTCAGGGTTGTATAGTTTGGCTGAGGGAGGAACTCCCGAGACTGAACCGCACAAAATGCCCAAGCTGACTATGTCCCGCGAAATTGTTGTAAATCCCTAAGCCCTAAACCCTATAATAACCCCAAGAAGCCACCATAGAGGAGCCCCGACACCCCCGGAGGCACCCGAAACCATACACCATAGCCCTAAACCCTAAACCCTCAACCCTAAACCCTAAACCCTAAACCCTAAACCCTAAACCCTAAACCCTAAACCCTAAACCCTAAACCCTTAAACCCTTAAAACCCTAAACCATACCCATAACTACCTCTGAACCTTCAAGTTTTCATCTTCGAAGCCTCGCCCATGGCGGCGGCCAAAGCAGCCACCTCGCTACCGAGCACGCCGCCGGGTGGCCGAGGATGTTAGGGTTTAGGGTTTAGGGTTTAGGGTTTAGGGTTTAGGGTTTAGGGTTTAGGGTTTAGGGCTTTAGGGCTTTAGGGCTTTAGGGCTTTAGGGCTTTAGGGCTTTAGGGCTTTAGGGCTTTAGGGCTTAGGGTTGGTTATGGGCTTAGGGTTTCTGGTTTAGGGTTTAGGGCGTTTGGGTTTAGGCTCTGGGGCGCGCAGCCTTTCCGTACTTGCCCCCTGTGCCGGGTTTGGGGCAGGGTTTCCAACCGCATCGCCCAAGGCTGCACCCTGGCTGGAGGTCTGGGGCTTCAGAGGGTTTAGGGTTTAGGGGTTAGGGCTTCAGAGGGTTTAGGGTTTAGGGGTTTAGGGGTTTAGGGGTGTAGGGGTTTAGGGGTTTAGGGGTTTAGGGGTTTAGGGGTTTAGGGGTTTAGGGGTTTCAGGTGCACGGAATTCCTCTCAAACCCGCCTTCGCAACCCTGGCTTCAGGTATGAGCCTATGACTATTACGCCAAAGCCCTATAACCTCAAAATCTAAAAATTCAGAATGTTGTAGACCCTAAAAACCCCATACGCCGCAGAGGGGTGCACTGGAAGATTCGCAGGTAGTTATAAGTTGAGTTATACTTATGGTAACCCCTCCTCAATTCGGGTGCGAAAAATTCTACTTATAGCCCCATGAGCCTTCAAGTAGTATCCCTAAACCCTAAACCCTAAACCCTAAACCCTAAACCCTAAACCCTAAACCCTAAACCCTACTTATGACTCCATGAATCTTGAGCAGTGAAAAGCAGACCGCGGCCTCGGCGCGAGCCATGGGCTCCTGCTCGTCGCAGCCGGGCGCCGAGGTGCACCGATTTCAAGACATCGCCGCTTGCTCGCAGAACTTGAGGGGGTGGGGGGTTTAGGGTTTCGGGTTTAGGGTTTAGGGTTTAGGGTTTAGGGTTTAGGGTTTAGGGGTTTGTTTCTTGTCTACGGTGTCAAATTTTAGATGCCGAGCCCCAAGCCCTAAACCCTAAACTCTAAACCCTGACCCCCTAAACTTAAAGCCCTAAACCCCAAGCCCTCCTCTAGACCCCTGAACCCCGAAACCCCGAAACCCCTAAGCCCCTAAACCCTTAAACCCTTACAACCCTTAAACCCCTAAACCCTTAAACCCTACACCCGAAAACTCCAAACTTCCAGGAAGACTTGGACCTTGTCTTCGGTGGGCCCGCCGCGTACAAGGCCTCCGCCGGCTCTTTGCCAAGAGGCGCTGCAGAAACCCGGCTGGGTCTCGGGGGGTTTGGGGGGGTTTGGGGGCTGGACTTTTGGGGGGGGTTTAGGGCTTTGGGGGTCCTAAACCCTAAACCCTAAACCCTAAACCCTAAACCCTAAACCCTAAACCCTAAACCCTAAACCCTAAACCCTAAACCCTAAACCCCAAACCCTAAACCCGAAATCCGAAGCCGCATGGGGGGGGGGGGTTAGGGGTTTTAGGGGTGCTCTGGGGCAGCTTGGGATTCCTCAAGCCGTCTTCTTGAAGACCATTATGTGTAATTATACGCAGGGCTCTTACGTAAGGCAACCTATATTCTACCCGATTCTGGCCTTGCTTAAGGTACGTATAACCTTAAACCCTAAACCCTGAGACCCTAACACCTTAAACCCTAACCAACAGGGGCCCAGAACTGAGATTCGGCACCCGGAGGGGCAGGTGGAGAAGAGAATCCCTAAATAGGGTTTAGGGTCTAGGGTTTAGGGTTTAGGGTTTGAGGTTTTGGGGTTTGGGGTTTAGGGCTACTACTCGAAGTTGAAAGTAGAGCTGTATAGTGCCGTAACTAAGTTTTTCATATGGGTTACCTGATTTATGACCCTACCTATGAGCCTTCAAGTAATCAACCCTTAACCTACCGCAAAGCCCGACCTGACCCTAAGGGCCTCAAACCCAGGAACGGTCTGCGGATGACGCCTGGGTCAAGCGGTTGAGGCAGGAGCGCGTGCGGCCCCTCTACCACGCCGGGGAACCTCTGCAGCCGATGTTGGGAGAGTTTCAAGCGCATAAACCCTAAACCCTAAACCCTAAACCCCAAACCCGAAACCCTAAACCCTAAACCCTAAACCTTAAACCCTAAACCCTAAACCCTCAAACCCTAAACCCTTTGAGATTCAGGGAGTTTGGTGTCGGTGTTTAGGGTTTGGGACTTGGGGATTTGGTGTCAAGGGTCTGGGGTTTTTGATTGGGAATGCGGGTGTTTGCTTGTGGTGATTACGTTTTCCGTGATCCTAAACCCTAAACCCTAAACCCTAAACCCTAAACCCTAAACCCTAAACCCTAAACCCTAAACCCGAAGCAAGGAGCTGAAATCTGTTCACCTGGAGTTGACCACACGCTGCAACGCGGCCTGCCCGCAGTGCCCCCGGAACCTACAAGGGGGTGCTGAGAACCCGGCGCCTTGGACTTCGGATGCTTCCGGTTGTGGGTTTCGGGTTTAGGGTTGAAGGTTTAGGGTTTAGGGTTAGGGTTTCGGGTTTAGGGCTTAGGGGTTTGAAGTTTGGGGCTTGGAGGTTTTAGGGGGTTAAGGGTGTGGGCGTTTAGGGTGTTGAGGCGTTGCGGGCTCAGGGCTCACTGAAGTTCGTGGGTTTCAGAGCTGAGGGTTTCAGGTAACCCTAAACCCTAAACCCAAAACCCTAAACCCTAAAACCTAAAACCTAAAACCTAAAACCTAAACCCTAACACTAACCCTACACCCTACACCCTACACCCTAAACCCTAAACCCTACACCCTAAACCCTAAACCCTAAACTTAGGGAGCCCAGGTACTTGCCGCACACCATGCGGAGCTCTCCCTTGCGGACGTCCGGGCCATCTTGCCCCCAGGCCCTGGGGAGGTTTGGGGGCTTCTATATGCACGGCTTTACTAAACCCTAAACCCTAAACCCTAAACCCTAAACCCTAAACCCTAAACCCTAAACCCGAAACCCGAAACCCGAAACCCGAAACCCTAAACCTCAACCCCTCATGATGGGATAACTAAGGGAGGAGTTTCATGGGAGGTAGGTACTAGACAGAAGCTTAGGGAGCCTGAGGGAGTAGTGGGGAGTATTAGGCACGAATCAAAGGCCTTTGACTCAGCTTTGGTTGCCGGCTCGGAAGGTAAATGTCTGTACGGGCAACATAAACCCTCAGAAGTCCTACTCGAAACAAACCTTGCTTGAAGGTTCATTGGTAGGTATGAGTAGGGTGATACGTACATTAACATCAACTCCCTCACTTATAGCCCTACCAAGAACTACTCCAGAACCTTCAAGTATCCCTAAACCCTAAACCCTAAACCCTAAACCCTAAACCCTAAACCCTAAACCCTAAACCCTAAACCCTAAACCCTAAGCTCTAAACCCTAAACCCTAAACCCTAAACCCTAAACCCTAAGCCCTAAACCCTAAACCCTAAACCAGGCTTCCTCCGGCAGCTGCGGAAGGTTTACTTGTGCGGCAACTTCGGGGACCCCGCCGTGGCCGAGGACTGCAGGGAGGTGCTCCGCCACTCAGCCGAAGCTATGCGGCCCTGTAGAGTTTAGGGTCTAGGGTTTTGGGTTTTGGGTTTTGGGTTTAGGGTTTTGGGTGTAGGGTGTAAGGTTTTAGGGTTTAGGGTTTAAGGGTTTAGGGCTTAGGTTTGGGGATCCCCTGAAATCTCAATACATCCGAAATCGAACTTTAGGAAGGGTTTCGTTTCGGGATCCACAGAATCCCAAACTGGACAAGTAAGGCTACCTGCTCAGCGTGGACGGCCCCCGCATCGGGCTCTTCACGAGACTAGCTTGACATATGGCATATGGGAGGTTTCTCTCTAAATTCGGATTCCTGTCTTTGGGGCACCTCTTCTTCTCAATGGGCCTGAACGGGCCACATGTTATACACAGAGTTTGACTTTGAAGCGTTCCGGGGGTTTCCATCAGCAGCCTAGGAACGGGGGCATGCGCTCGCCCTCGTGGTGGCAAGAGCTTGGGAGCATCATGCAGCCGGCAGCTCGGGCGTTCGTGCGCTTCGCCATCGACGGGGACGCATCCACGAACCACCTCTATCGGCAGCACGTGAAGTGGGAGCGCCTCATGGCGAACGTGGACGCCTTCCTGGGGGCTGGTGGCAACGCGGAGTGGGACTTCATCGTCTTCGAGCACAATGAGCACCAGGTGGAGGCGATGCGCTCCTTGGCGGAGCAGAAGGGCTTCACCAAGTTTAATGCCAAGAAGACGGCTCGCTTCATCGACAAGGCTCTTTGCAATGAACCACAAGTCATCACTTTATCAGCTTCTCATCACACTCGGGACAATAACAAACTTGTTCAAATTGGGAACTGGGTTCCCTTCATAGGATCGTTTAAAGGAGCCTGCAAAACAAGACCTTACCTCCTAGGACTATCACGGGGGTCATCTCGCTTAGAATCGAGTTCCTTCATCAGGTTGCTTCCCCAAAGCAGTGAACACCAAAGCCTCAAGAAACACATAGAGAAGGTGACAGAGGCCGACCTTTTGTTCAGGGTTTGGGGTTCAGGGTTTAGGATTGAGGATGTAGGTTTCAGGGAAGACTTGCCCATCCTTTAGAAATTCCCAGTATGAACAGAACGCAAGCTAAACCCCCTGCTTCAGGCCCAGGGCGTTGTGAAGCCCTCCGTCCCCGTGCGGAACCTGGCGGGCGAGGAGGTTCGCAAGCTGCGACCGCCCAGCCGCACCTGGCAGAATGAGGCGTTCTTGGGCGCTTTAGGGTTTGACAATCTTCCTTAAACCGAAAGAGGATCCTTTAAGGCGTATTTCCGAATCAAGAGATCCTAAACCCTAAACCCTAAACCCTAAACCCTAAACCCTAAACCCAAAACCCTGAACCCTAAACCCTAAACCCCCTGAGGCGGCTCTGGAAGGCGTGCAGAAGGCTCGGCTGGTTTGCAGGTCTCTCTAGGGGTCCTCGAGAAGGGCTTCGGGTCCGCAACCCGAAGCCCTTCATACAAAACCCGAAGCCCGAAACCCTAAACCCTAAACCCTAAACCCTAAACCCTAAACCCTAAACCCTAAGAATCCTCCGTCCCTTGTCTCCAGAGGCGGTGGAGAAGTATGGGAGCATCGAATCCTACTACGACCGCTGCGAGATCTCCTGCAAGGTGGCCAAGGAGAAGGAGGCAGTAATCTGGGGGTACAAGGGTTTAGGGTTTAGGGTTTAGGGTTTAGGGTAGCTACTAAATGCGATCTTCCCTTATAGTCCCTATCAACTTAGACGGCCAAACAACCCCCCCCCCCCAAAACCCTATTCTAACTATCAAGGTGCCTACACTACAGGCAGTAATAGAGGGGTTAAAAGGAGGGTTTATTGTTTCGTGTTTAGGGCCACAACCTCCATCCAATATAGGGTACTCATATAGTATTTTCCCTGGTGGTCCCCTATATCAAAATACTGCAATAACCCCCGGAAACGTATTCTAATTATCAAAGGTCCCTATACTGCCTTGTACCAGATTTGTAGGAGAAGGCTCAAGAAGAGGAGGCAGCCGCTCGCGCGGATATCGAGACCTTTACGGACAATGTGTTGACACTGGCTTCACTCCCTAACCACTAAACCGTAAACCCCAAACCCTCAACCCTAAACCCCTCTTTCTACCTCTTGCAGTGCTTGACATGCTACAGCAGCTAGGCCTCAGAAGCTGCTCCACAGCGGCTCTTCTAGCAATGACAGAATCGGTAGAAGAAGCTTCAAACCCTTTGGCTTATCGACCTTTCCTCAGTTACCAGAAAAGCTGGGAAAGGTAGAAGAGATGGAAGGCAACCCTCGCTTTCTGCCTTTGAGAATGACGCACTTGCTTTTGGGGTTTAGGGTTTCGGTCCATATGACGGTGCCGATGCTTTGCTTTCGGGACTCCGCCATGTAAGACAAAGGGTGCCGGGGGTTGGAAACTGGGCCTCAAAACCCTGCACCCCGCAGGTGTACATCTCGGCAGACGGTTTAGCCTTCCCATGCTGCTGGCTTGCGGCTGCGGCTGTGCTGAAGGGGTTTAAAGGTTCTCGGGCTTGAGGGGGCATCCCAGATAGGCACATCTTGGAGAGTCATGTCAGAACTGGGTCCTTAATGTAAAGTGGCGCCTTTAGAGATGCAGTGACATGCAGCTCTTTCGCCGGGTTCTATGTTCGAGGTTCCGCAAAAACAGCGTCTCTTGTTTGAAGGACACTTGCCCCTCAAACCCCTCAAGCGTCTCAAATTCCTCAAACGACTCAAACCCTTCAAGCCCCTCAAGCCCCTCAAGCCCCTCAAGCCCCTCAAAACCTCAAACCCCAAGCCCTGAAACCCCCCAAGCCCCAAACCCTCAACCCTAAATTTTCGAAGCCCAAACTCAAAAACACCCCAAACCCTCAACCCTAAATTTTTGAAGCCCAAACTCAAAAACACCCCAAACCCTCAACCCTAAATTTTCGCACCCCAAACTCAAAACCCCTCACACCCCTAAACCCTAAAACCCCTAAACCCTAAATCCTAAAACCCCTAAACTCTAAACCTTAAAACGACGGAAAGCCCTAAACCCCTCCAACCCTCAACCCTAAACCCTAAGCCCTAAACCCTAAACCCTAAACCCTAAACCCTAAACCCTAAACCCTAAACCCAGGAGATGTACCGCTCAGACCTGCCGAACACTGGCCGGGAGGTCGTTCGGCTGGCAAAGGCCGCGTTTCCGCAGGACCTGGGTATGTTGTAGGGTTTAGGGTTGAGGGTTGAGGGTTTTAGGGTTTTAGGGTTTTTAGGGTTTAGGGTTTAGGGTTTTGGGGTTTTAGGGGTTTAGGGATTCTTGCAGGCTCCTGTGTAGTTATACGTATGGTTATTCGAGAAAAGCAACCCATGTTATAACATTAACTACTTACTTGAAGGTTCATGGGTAGTTATCAGTAGGGTGATAAGTGCCCTATGTAAGGCTATAATTTGACCATACTTGGAACTACCCATGAACCTTCCAGTAGTAGGCCAAAACCCTAAACCCGAAACCCTAAACCCTAAACCCGGCAGATTGGGGTGGTGTGGGTTCCAGTCGTGCCGCCAACCCCCTTAGAGCATAACGGGGGCTCCCCGCGTCTTCTCCATGTGACTGGGCCCATGTTGTTTAGGGTTTAGGGTTCAGGGCTTAGGGCTTAGGGCTTAGGGTTGCAGATGTCCCAACCATGTTGGGCGACAAATGCAGAGACCTCGCACCAAGCGCGGCTGACGCTTTTGATGCGCGGCCGTGTTGGGCGGAGATTTCACGCCGAAGGCGGCTGATTCTCATCCTTCGCCTGGAGCCCAAGCCCTAGACCCTAAACCCTAAGCCGCCTAAACCCTAAACCCTTAGCTCTAAACCCTAAACCTTAAGCCCTAAACCCTAAACCCTACACCCCAAACTTTTTAGTGGGCTTCTCCGGGGCCGAAAAGTGCGGATCGGTCAATGCCAGGAGGGCCTCTCTGCGCTGAGCGCCCGCCGCCGCGGGGTCGCCGGCGCGGTCGACCGCAGGCTCCCAAGGGGCGGTTTTAGGGTTTAGGGTTTTAGGGTTTTAGGGTTTTAGGGTTTTAGGGTTTTAGGGTTTTAGGGTTAATTATTAGGGTTTTAGGGTTTTAGGGTTTTAGGGTTTTAGGGTTTTAGGGTTTTAGGGTTTTAGGGTTTTAGGGTTTTAGGGTTTTAGGGTTTTAGGGTTTTAGGGTTTTAGGGTTTTAGGGTTTTAGGGTTTTACTGTTTTAGGGTTTTAGGGTTTTAGGGTTTTAGGGTTTTAGGGTTTTAGGGTTTTAGGGTTTTAGGGTTTTAGGGTTTTAGGGTTTTAGGGTTTTAGGGTTTAGGGTTTTAGGGTTTCGGGTTTGGGGTTTGGGGGGTTTTGGGTTGTTTGGGGACTTCAGGGGTATTTGAGGTATTTTGGACGGTGGTGTAGTGTTTAGGATTGCTTAGAGTCATTGTTTATGGCTTGGAGAGCCCAGGCTGGAGTGCCCTACCCCCGGAGAATCCTTCTGAGAATCTTGCATAATATAGGGGTCGGAAGAATTACTAATACTATTCCCTTATTATGGTCCCTATATAAATTATATAAATATATATTCTAATGACCCCCAAAACACTGCTGGGGAACACGCAAAGACCCCACGTGATACAGCCTACTTGGAATGCAAATGAGCAGTGTTATTTTTGCTGCAAACTCTTGCAGTTCTCTGTTGAGCCACGAACTCTCATGAGAACGGGCCCGCGGGCTACTGACCTTGCTGATTCGACCTACCGCGAGTGGCACAACTCTTTCGTTGCTATTGAGGCTTCTTTACAACGCATTCTTCACATCCTTTAAAGTATGAGTCTCGAATGATATTCTTGTGAGTGTACAAAACACTCTGTTTCACCTTCATCGCACAGACTTCGGTCCGCATACCCCCAAAACACTGTTCTAATTATTGAGGCCTTCATATGACATGTTCCTTACTTTTTGGAGGTGGGGTTCTTTGCTGGAGGGTCTATAGGGCTTCAAGTAGCGGAGGGAGGGAGTTCGTTTTGTTTTGTTGCTTTTCAGAAGGCTTGGGTGAGAACCCCTAGATTCACCGAAGCTGCTGGATCGAAAATAGACCCCCCGCTCTTCTTCACGCCGTTAGCATCATGTCGCTGGCTGCGGTGGTCAACCCCCTGGGCTTTTCCCTCTTTCGGCTGCTGACATCGCGGCCTGGGGAGAACGTCCTCATATCCCCGCTCTCCCTCTCGGGATGCCTCTCCATGGTCGCAGCTGGCGCCACAGAGGGATCCGGAACCGAGAAGGAGCTGATGACCCTGCTCAACGGCTTAGTCCCAGGCTTGCCAGCAGACAGCACCGTCAAGATGGCCAACTCTGCGTGGGTGCGGATGGGGATCAGAGCTGACTACGTGGAGGCCATAAAAGCAAAGTTTGGTGCAGAGGCCCTCGAGTTGGCGGGCTTAGACCCCAAGCCAATCAACGAGTGGGTGAAGGAGAAGACCGTCGGGCGCATTGAGAAACTCTTCGACGGCGAGCTGGACGCCCTCACGGTGCTGGTGCTGGTGAACACGGTCTTTTTCAAGGGCTCCTGGGCGACAGTCTTTGATGTCACACTTACCAAAAAGTCCGAGTTCAAGGGTTTCGCGTCCTCCCTCCCGTGCGACTTGATGTACAAGAAAGAGAAGAACGTCGCGTACACGGAGAATGACCTCTACCAAGCCGTGCGACTTCCCTACAATGATGGGAAGACATTCGCCACCATCATGCTTCCAAAGAAGGAGGGGGCCGAGGCGCTGTCCGACCTCGCGGCTTCCGTAGACAAGACCTGGGGAGCCCTGGATGGGGAGTTTCTTGCTCTTGGTTAGTAGGGCATGAGGGAAGAAGGTACCCCATAGAATCCCTTAAAGGGTACATTATAGGGGCCCGAAACCATGTAACCCCTTACAAGGGTATATATAGGGTACCTCGCTCATTCCCTACTGGCCCACAGTAAGGTTTCGCAAGATGGAGGTGGAGCTCAGCCTGCCCCGCTTCAAGCTCAGCGCAGGTGGGTCGATGACGGCGGCACTGCGAGGGCTCGGCCTGAAGGAGACCTTCGACTCGAATGGCGGCTTCTTGAAGATGCCTCTTAGGGATACTGGGGAAGAATTTTTATTTTTTGGGTACTAGAATTCCTCAGAAACAGCTAAAAGATGTGATTTTTGCCAGGGTTCCCCAAGTTCAGTAGAGGTCAGACGACCCGATGGTGCACCTCAGCGAAGTGGTGCACAAGGCGACCCTTGAGGTCAATGAGGAGGGCACGGTTGCAGCGGCAGCCACTGGCGCGGTAATGATGACCCGCTGCCTGCCACCGCCGGCTGTTCCGATGACCGTTGACCGGCCTTTCCTCTTCATGCTCAGCGACAGCGATGGCACGATTTACTTCCTTGGACAGATTGTGGCGCCAGAGCTTGAGGGACTTGAGGCCACACTTAAGTGAAGAGCCCGTCTCACGACAGCTGCACCGATCTAGGATAGGCTATCATTTTGCAGATGCACCCACACGTACAGGTGGGAAAGGAAGGAGCAAACGTGCCAATTGTTCTGCATGACGCGCTGGGTGCTCTTGCCGTTGAGGTGCCAGCTAAGGTACCAGCTAGGCTGCAGCAAGGAGTCACCCTACCGGCCGCCCCTAAGCCTACAGAAGCTTTGAGCTCGGGTTCACTTGAAGAAGGTTCATGAGTAGCTATAAGTAGGGTTATAAGTACCTTAACTCAGGTTATAGTATAGGTTACCTTACTTGCAATCCCTACTTCTAAGTACCCATAAACCTTCAAGCAAGGTTCAGGGTTCAGGGCTCAGGGTTTAGGGTTTTTGGGTTTGGGTGGCTCTACATGCTTTACACCCTGAACCCTTAAGAAAAATATCCAAAACCGTAGATCAAACCCAAACCCTCAAAACCCCCAAATACTAAAGACCTACACCCAAGTAACCCAAGTACCCGAAATCCTCACTGGAATCCCTAACTATAAGCCCGAAGTATCAGCCCGAAGCCCAAAACGTATCAACCCTCAGCCCGAAAACCGACAGGGCGGGCCTCTTTCAGCAGCTGGTTCCGGCGGCCATGCAGCAGCCCTCTCTTGAAGCTGGGCGTTTGCGGACGTGCTCGGCCGTGTGTGGTGCGGAGGTCGGGGGGGAGTTTGGGGTTTAGCAGAACTCAAAAGAGCAACCAACCCCGAAACCCACAAACCCCGAATCCCCAAACTTTGAGAACCCAAACCCCAAACCCCCCCCCAAAAGCTCTGAATCCTCCCCCAAAACCCACTAGTACACCTTGAGCCCCTGAAGCCCCTGGACCCCCCCCTCTGCACCACCCCGAGGTGAACGCGTTCGTCAAGCAGTTCGAGGGCGCTGCTAAGGCCCTGGACCCTGGCCTCCGCACGGCTACGGCCGCCACGACGGCCCCCTTTCGGGCATCGGCCGAGGCTGCGCCCGTGGAGGCTCGGGGTTCAGGGTCCAGGGTTCAGGGTTTAGGGTTTAGGGTTTAGGGTTTAGGGTTTTGGGTTTAGGGTTTAGGGTTTAGGGTTTTGTGTTGAGGGTTCACAGGGCTTACGGTTATGGGGCTGCGTCCTTCCCGAGCCTCAAGCACCCAAAAAGCGCGACTCACGAGTCCCTTCATCTTCTTTTCGATGTGGAAGGAGTTTGCTCAGTCTGGCGTGTATGGGATGCATGGTAGGTGGGCTTCGGGCTAGCCCTAAACCCTAAACCCTAAACCCCAAACCCTAAACCCTAATGCCCTAATGACCCTTAAACCCTGAACCCTGAGGTGTGGTATGGCAGTGAGACCGGCAACGCCGAGCGCCTCGCGCTGCGCGCCGCCGAGGCGCTGGGCGCCGTGGCCGCGGTCTCGGCCCCGCCGAGGTCGGACGAGGCGCCGGAGGGAAGATGGATCTGGGCTTCCCCTAAACCCTAAACCCTAAACCCTAAACCCTAAACCCTAAACCCTAAACCCTGAGCCCTGAAAACCCTAAACCGAAACCCTTGAGCCCTAAACCTTTCAGGTGTTTAAGGGGTTTGCTATTTGGGGTCTTGGGGTTTCGGGCGGCTGTAGGGTTCAGGCATCCTGATATGAGCCCCAAACCCTAAACCCTAAACCCGAAACCCCAGACCCTACTCAACCCTAAGCCCTAAATTTCTCTCTGCCCAGCTTGGTGCCTTCAGGTGGAGGGGCGACTGCGCAGCTGTCAAGCCCTTGTGTTGGTGCTGGCCACCTGGGGCCAGGGAGAGCCCACGGACGACGCCCGAGGCCTCTTCCAGTGGCTGCGCGAGGCAAAAGATGCCGGAAGCTCCCTGGCGCTGCCGGTGGCTTGCTGGTTCTGAGGGTTTAGGGTTTAGGGTTTAGGGTTCAGGGTTCAGGGCTTTTAGGGTTTTGGGTTTTTTCGCCCTCCCCCCATGTCTCCCTAACCTTTTCCAAAGAGCCCCGAGGTGGCCATCTTCGGGGTCGGGAGCTCGCTGTGGCCGGACTTCAACGCCGCGGCCCGGCGCGCCGGGGAGTTGCTGGGCGCCTTGGGCGTCCCTCTCCTGGCCTTGGGCGAGGGCGATGTGGCTTCGGAAGCACAGTGGTGCCCCTTTGCATCTCCTTTCTTTTTTTTTGGTGCTGGGCTCCCAGTTACTAAAGTCGCCAACCCCAAAAAAAGGGGGGTGCCCTTGTTGTAATAGGGGTTGCTGAACAAACCCAGGTGGCCGATGCCCGGAGCCTGGATTCCCAGTTTGAGTCCTGGCTCCAGCAGCGCCTCCTGCCGGCGCTCGGGGCGCGCGGCCTGGGTGCGCGGGAGGGCCCAGCGCTGGTGCGGCGCGACGCAGGGGCGGAGTCGTCCTCCGTGCAGCTGACGGTGACCCGCGTCGCCCGCCTCGCGCCGAGCGATCCCGTCGCCAGGTGGGGCTTGCTATGGCTTGCTCAAAGGCTAGCAGGTCGGGCGTAAATCATGACCCAGTCCTGCAACCTCCATATTCCGGTTCTATAATACATCTGTAGTTGCATTGTAAACTACCCTTGAAGCCCATTTAAGTAGAGTAGGGCTCGCTCTATGTGTTTTAACATCAGAGTTTTCCCTCGAAGCTGCCATGCTCAAGCTCCAAACTCCGGATATTGGGGCCTATATTTAAGTAGAACGGGGGTACTGCAAGAAAATCTGAAGGGAGTTTCAAGGAGGGTTGTATCTTCATGTTCCCAAACTTTGAGGTACTTCGAGGTCGAGCTCGCGGGCGCGCATGGCGCGCTGCCCCACGGTCCAGGCGACGCTTTGGGTGTGCTTCCGCCTGGCGGCCGCGGCCTGGGCGCGAGGAACGCCTGGCATTTAGGGAATATTTATCAGCATCATCCCCTTGTGATTTCTATATGCTTCTGGATACACCTAAATGCTCCTTTATATTCGAGTTCCCATGCCGTCGGCCATTCATTTCGAGCAGCGAGGCTGTTAAGTAGGGTTTGCGGGGTTGAGGCTTTAGGGATCTTAAGGGGCTTGTTTCCAAGAACAGGGGTGTCCCTTGTCCTCTGCGGCCTTCTTTGTTTGAGGGTGCCGCCCGAGATCCGGAAACTCCAAGCCTCAGCCAAAGTCATTTAACCTCTAGTTAAAAAGTGCTGTAGAATGTCGTAAAACCTCTGGAAGCCCTACATCTCCCAAACCCTATAAACCTTAAGCCCAAAACCCTCTTCAAGGTTCATGGGTAGTCATAAGTAGGGGAGTAATTAGGGTGAGGTTTTTATCCAAATGTCATGTTTGGGGTCCAAAGGGTTTAGACAGCTAAGTGCTGCGAAATGACTGGGAGGGAAGGGAGGGCTGGGAGGGAAGGGAGGGAAGGGAGCTTCAGGATGTTGGTTGGCTTGATGGTTTTAGGAGCCCTGAATCCCCCCCTTATTCGGAATAGGGTTTAAAAGGCGGGGTCGGTTTCGGCAGGATTTTGAGGAAAGTGTTTTTATGGTTAGGGGGGCGTTTATTAAGAGGGGGAAGGGATTATAGGTGCCCGAATTTAGGGCATAATGTAGGTTACCTTACTTGTAACTTCCCACGAACCTTCAAGGAAGCATCCTTTTGCTTCCTCCAGGCCGCGGTGGTACACCATCTCCTCCTCGCCCGGCGTCCTTCCTTCAAGCGGCCCTGGCCAGGCGCAAGCAGCGGTTGCGGAGGGCACCTGAACCCGCAGCCTGCTATTGTTTGGTTTCGGGTTTAGGGTTTAGGGTTTAGGAGTAGTATCGAAGAATGGTAATAGTAGCAACGAAGAGACCCTGCCCCCCAAAAAGGGTGGCCCACACAGTTGGCGTTTTGAGGCAGTGGCTTTCTGCGCTTCCTTCAGATATTGTGTACATCCCGGTTCAGGTAGTCTTCAACCCCATGCCCCAAACTTGGGATGTTCCCCCTTATACGAACAGTCCTCAAAAAAGGGATTATGATTCTCATAGGGGGGCACTGTAATCCCTTCTTGGGCTCCTGATGTCTCTGGAGGTGCTGCGCCTGATGGTGCGGGAGGTGCCCACGGGCGGCTGCTCGCCTTGGCTCTGCGGCCTACGTGCTGGGGACACGGTGGAGTGCCTTACTTCGCCTTTAGTTGAACTTTAAACTTTTTGGGTTTCCTTTTTTAGTAGGAATATTAAAGTTTAACCTTTTTTCCCCTTGGTTATTGGAGAAGTAAGGTGCCTGCCGCCCCGGCGGCCCTCCCCTCTCCGCGCCGCCTGGGAGGCGCGGAGGGCCACGCGGCTGCTTCTGGTCGCGAACGGCGCCGGGCTGGCTCCTTTCCTGGCGCTGTTCGAGAAGCTCGCCGCGGAAAGCCCCGAGTGCCGGCCGCCCGCCTGGCTGTGGGTTGGGTGCAGGCGGCGCGAGGGCGGCCTGCCCCACCAGGAGAGGCTGGCAGCCTTGGAGGCGGAGGGTGTGCTGCGCCGGCTGGCGGTGGCCGAGTCCAACCCTACGAGCAGCGATGCTCCGAGATGTTGGGTTCAAGATGTGCTTCGGGCAGAGGCCGAGGAGGTCGGGCAGCTTTTGCTCCTGGCTTTGAATGGTCAAACAGACTGTGATTTTGGGATATTTTGGGTATGACAGAAAGACCAAGCTGGTTTAGATAGGCAGCGTCATTATCTTCATCCGTTGAGCCCTTGAAGCCCTTGGCGCGAAGAGTATGCAGTTTGCTCGGAAGAGTATCGCCCCCCTTGCCCCCTCCCCAATCACCAAGTGCCACGTGGGACTTGCTTCAGCTCTCTTCGACTAGATCTGGTTCGCAGGAGATGCGGGTAGCTTATATTAGACTTCCACAGAACTACTGAAGAAATGATCTCAACCTTAAAAACCTAAAGTCCCTAAACCCTAAACGTTGAACCCTAAACCCTGAACCCTAAGCCCTAAACCCTGAACCCTAAAGCCTGGATTAACTCGGCCACTCAAGGTTCGGGTCGGGAGAGCCCACCGCGCTCATGCTGGTCTGCGGATCGGCCGCCATGGGCTGCGCGGTGTGCAGGGCTCAGAGGGGAGGGCTGTTATCGCTTTTGGGCGTCCGTTGCCCTAAACCCCAAACCCTAAACCCTAAACCCTAAACCCTAAACCCTACACCCTAAACCCTAAGACCCTCACAAGAAACCGAAGCTCCTCGAAGCAAGCTCTGGAGCTGCCTATAACGGGCTGCTTCACGCGCCTGTGTGCGAAGGCGCGACGTCGTTTCGGGGATCGCCGCGGCGCGCGGCACCAGCGTGGAGGCGCTTGTCGCCAGGCTGCACTATAGGAAGCTGTGTTTTTGGTTTAGGGTTTAGGGTTTAGGGTTTAGGGTTTAGGGTTTAGGGTTTAGGGGCGGGGAGGGGTTCCGGGCTTCCGGGTTCCGGGTTTAGGAAGCAGGGAAGACATGTGAAGACTGGTTTGGGGATTCTGGCTCAGAATCAGGGTCCCCTTTCAGCTACATTTTCGGCAGCGGGGACCCTTCTAACATGGATCCCCTAAGCGACGCAAATCCAGAACAGCCCCTTGGTGACATTGCTTTCGGCTAAAACCCTAAACCCCAAACCCCAAACCCCCAACCCCCAACCCCAACCTAAACAGCCCTAAACCCTGAACCCGAAACCCTAAACCCTAACTCTAAAACCCGAAACCCAAAACCCTAAACCCTAAGCCCTACGCCCTAAGCCCTAAACCCTAAACCCTAAACCCCAATCCCGCAAGGAAAACGAGGGCCACTACGCGGCGGAGCTGTGGTGATGCGGTGCAACAGGCACTGCGGGGGCGGCTCCCATGGCGTAATAATTCTCACGCCCAAGGGCCTCGGGTTTAGGGTTTAGGGTTTTGGGTTTAGGGTTTTAGAGTTTAGGGTTTAGGGTTTAGGGTTTACGGTTTTGGACTTAGGGTTTAGGGTTCAGGCGCTTGGGTTTGGGGTTTCAGGGTCAGGGTTTAGACGTTCAGGATTCAGTGTCATTGAGGGTTTAGTCTAGGGGGTTTAAGAAGGGTTTTGGGAGTTTTGGGGTTTAGGCATGGGGCCTCTTTTGAGGATTGTCCAAAGCTGGCAGTCTTCCAATCTTCGTGTGCGGAGCAGGTGCAGGCTGTCACATCGCCCTTGCAATTCCTTCCCAAATGCCCATCCTCATTTAGATATCATGTGTTGCAACCTGCAAATTCGGCCGAATTTCACGTGTGCTCAAAGAAGCACAAGGGTGTCATGGTGCTCGGTTTCAGACGTGGTCAAGCCGTGGAATCTTGTCCAAAGCTGGCAGGAGGGCGGCCCCTTGAGAGCCTTTTTCCCGCGCCGTGACTGCCGAATTGAAGAGCCAAAGCCCCAACCGCCCAACAGTGACTCTGGCCCACAATCATAGTCTGCTGGCGCGCGCCCCGAACCCCAAACCCCCCAAAACCTAAACCCTAAACCCTAAACCCTAAACCCTAAACCCTAAACCCTAAACCCTAAACCCTAACCCTAAACCCTAAACCCTAAGCCCTAAACCCTAAACCCGAAACCCTAAACCCTAAACCCTAAACCCTAAACCCTAAACCCTAAACCCTAAACCCTAAACCCTAAACCCTAAACCCTAAACCCTAAACCCCAAACAAACCCAAACCCCAAACCCCAAGCGCGGGGAAGGCCTCGAACTTGGGCCCTGCTGCCTGAACTCCCCCCTGAACACTGAAACCTACCCTTCAGGGTTTTTTGGGCTTTGATAGCTAGCGTTTAGAGTTTAGGGTTTAGGGCTTAGGGCTTCGGGTTTAGGGTTTAGGGTTTACGGTTTCGGGCTTCTATGCTTGTCCTTGGCGCAACATTTTCCAGGCCTGTCCTCCATGAGCAGGTCCGTGGGTCCGAACGGTGACAACACAACAGCCCTGCAACATTGTGCCCTAAGCCAAGGAAACCCTGAACCCCAAGCCCGAAACCCTAAACCCTCAGCCCTACCCTAAACCCTCAACCTTGAACTTCAGACCTTCGACCCTAAACCCTTAGCCCGAGACCCCACGCCCTAACCCGTAAACCCTAAATACCCTACTTGGAGGTTCATGGTAGCTAGGCACCCAGTTATTCCTGTTCTTATAACCTTATCACCCAGTTATACCCCTGTTGAGGTACTTAAGGGGCTAATAAGTGGGTATTGTAACTACACGTATAATTGGGTGATAAGAACCCTGAACCTCCAAGCACAGCCTAAACCCCTAACCAAGGTGTGACATACACAAAGATGCCGTGGTCTGCCAAGAGGCTAAGGCCAGGTGGGTGAAGGGGTTTAGGGTTTAGGGTTTAGGGTTTAGGGTTTTGGGGTCAGGGTTTTGGGGAGTAGGGTTTTTGGGTTAGGGTTTTGGGTTTTCGAGGGGCTGGAAGGGGCTTTCAAGTGGGTTTCAATGTTAAAGGGGTTTAAGGGGGTTTAAGGTGGGTTTAAGGGAGGTTAAAGGGGTTTCCAGGGTTTCAGGTTAGGGTTTCAGGGTATCAGGGTATCAGGGTATCAGAATTTCAGGGGTTCAGGGGTTCAGGGTTGCAGGCTTGTAGGGTTGCAGGGTTGCAGGGTTGCGGGGTAGCAAGATGGAATGACGTTTGAATTTCCCCTCTTTTTTCACTGTAGAGGCCTGGTTATTCATTGTTTTTGGGGATGGCCGAGAGTTCTACCAAGCCGAGCTTTGATTGGAGAGTTTGGTGCTTCCGAAAAGACCTTGTGCTTTGTGAGCCCGGCTTTTGAAGGTTGATGGTAGTTATAAGTAGGGTTGCAGGTAAGGTATCCTGTGTTTGATAAAATCAGTTAAGGTACTTCTAACGCTACAGGTATCTATCCATGAGCCTTCAATTGCCCCTAAACCCACGCCTGTGCAGGTGCAAGGAACCCACAGCATCAAGGTGGGTGAGGGGACAGTGCCCCGACTGTATCGAGTTCGGTGCCCTAAGCCCTAAGCCCCAAACCCTAAACCTAAACCCTAAACTGTGAGCCACAGGTGGTGAAGAGAGCAGGGCTTGAAACCCAAGGTCAGGTGAAGAAGAGCAGACAAAACTGCTGCGCCCGGCGCCCAAGGTGATCCATCCCGCGTGCATCCTCCATGCCCAGGTGCGCCGGGGCTGTGTTGTTGAGAGTTGGGTTAAGGGTTTGGCGTTGAGGCGATCATCCCTCCAAGCAGGTGGCTTAGGGTTTAGGGTTACAGGGTTTCGGGTTTAGGGTTTAGGGTTCGGGGTTTAGGGTTTAGGGTTATAAGGTCTATGAAGCAATATGCCTTAAATGCGTGAGATGACCCCCGGGACCATTGCAGGTGTCTTCCTTCAGGGGTACTGGGCTCTCTAAGTAGTGCCTCGAACGCCAAACCCTAAATCCTAAATAAAGCCCAAACCCGAAACCGTCATACTTGAAGGCTCATGGGTAGTTATTAGTAGGGTTCTAAGTTTTTGAAGGCCGGCCCGATCGTCATTGGCCGCTTCAACGTGCTGGAGGTCTGACACTGGGGGTTTAGGGTTTAGGGTTTAGGGTTTAGGGTTTAGGGTTTAGGGTTGAGGGCTTTAAGGCTTTAGGGTTTAGGGTTTAGGGCTTTAGGGTTTAGGGTTTAGGGGTTAAGCGTGTAGGGTTTGGGGGACTTCGGGTTCAGAATCCTACTGCCCTCTAAAAGCTCCGATGTGCGCATAACTTGCAGACAACGTATAATCGCCAATCTTTGCAGAACCCCAACCCCACCCCCCCCCCCTCCGTCAACCCAAAACCCACGTAAAGGCAAATGAGAAGCCTACCATATGAGGTAGCATCCTGTTTTTTGCTAGTATCCCCCAAAATTCGCCAATTAAGGCACCATAGGTTCTACCACCCAACAGCAGTAGTACAAGCCCTATCCGCTTGAAGGTTCACGGTGGGCAGTAGGGTTCCCTACTTATAACTACCCATGAACCTTCAAGTATCCCTAAACCCTAAACCCTAAACCCTAAACCCTAAACCCTAAACCCTGAACCCTAAACCCTAAACCCTAAACCCTAAACCCTAAACCCCTAAACCCGAGACCCTAAACCCTGAACCCTAGACCCTGAACCCTAAACCCTAAACCCCTACCCATGAACCTTCAAAGTACTCTTCGCAGGAGCAGGTGGAGGTCGTGAACTCCTCGGACCAGCCGCTGGTCATCGGGGACCACAACATCCTGGAGGTGAACTTTCGGGCTTAAACGCCCACCCTAAGCCCTAAACCCTAAACCCCCCTAAACCCTAAACCCTAAACCCCAAACCCTCAACCCCAAACCCTAAACCCTAACCCTGGACCTTCAGCCCTAGACCCCGAAGCCTTAAGCGCCACCTGACAGCTAAAACCCCCGAGCCCGAAACCATGCACTCCGAAAAGCCCTTTCGCCCACAAAACCTTCCAGGCCCCCCCAAACCCTCAACAACCGCTCCTGGTCCTAAACCTTAAACCCTAAGCCCTGAACCCCAAACCCCAAACCCCAAACCCTAAACCCTCAACCCAACAACCCTAAACCCTCAACCCCACAACCCTTAAACCCTAAACCCTAAACCCTAAACCCTAAACCCTAAACCCTAAACCCTAAACCCTAAACCCTAAACCCTAAACCCTCCCAAGAGCAGGTCGGCGCCCGGATCCTGGGCGGCGGCGGGGCGCGCCTCGGCGATGCGAACCTGGTGGAGCCGGGGGGCTCAAAAGGTTTGGGGTTTTATTTGAAGGTTCACATGGTTAGGGTTTAGGGTTTAGGGTTTGGGGTTTGGGGTTTAGGGTTTAGGGTTTAGGGTTTAGGGGCCCAAAGGTTTGGGGGGTTTTGCTTGAGGTTCAGCTGGGGGATGAGGGAAGGTTTAGGGTTTAGGGTTTAGGGTTTAGGGTTTTGTGGCTTAGGGCTTCGGGCTTAGGGTTAGGGCGTCGGGTTTAGGGGTTGACTTGAAAGTTTATGGGTAGTGTGATAGGTAGGGCTAGCAGCATTTTCATGAAGGTTAAAATTTGGACTACATTGCCTATAGACGCACTTGCAAACTACCCGCGAGTTGTTTTGTTCAGGCCTCTTTTTTTGGGGTTGCGTGTGACAATGGCTCGAGAGGAAGTAGCCACTTGATCGGGCCGTCTGGTCCAGTCTAAAGAGGGCCCGAAGCCCTAAAGCCCTAAAGCCCTAAACCCTAAACCCTAAGCCCTAAGCCCTAAACCCTAAACCCTAAACCCTAAACCCTAAACCCTAAACCCTAAACCCTAAACCCTAAACCCTAAAGCCTTAAAGCCCTCAACCCTCAACCCTAAACCTTAAAGCCCCAAAGCCCCTAAAGCCCTAAACACTGAACCGAGGATTCTTGGGGTTGTTCTAAGGTCCTCTGGACCATGGGTTCGGAGTCCCCCTTATCAGGACAATCCCTTTTCGGGACAGGGATTCAACCCGCCAGAGGGTAATTTTGGGCAGTGTTCGTTGGACAGTTCAAGCTGAACCATTCCCAGAAGGCTCCGAACGTGCCCCAGTAGGGTGTAGATTATAGGGCTTTATCCCGTTGAGGCTGCATAGGTCACCAGCTCCCAAATCCCCTACTCTGAACAACCCACTAGATCTCTGAGGCCCCCTAAACCCCTACGCGCCCTAAACTCCAAAACCCGGTGTTTGGGGTTTAGGGTTTCAGGTAGTCTAGATTTTACGCTTTGTTCAGGTACTTGTAACCCTAACTGATAGCTACCCATGACTTTCAAGCAAACAGGCAAACGGCATGATGTTGTGACTCAAGCTGATTGCTGAGGATCCGCGCCACATTGGACGAGGGCTGCTCTGTCCGGCCCTGAGAAATCTTGTGGAAGGCCTCAAGAGCGGGTTTAGGGTCTTGGATCTTGCCTTTTGTCCCAGAGACCCCAATACATCTTAACCAGGGCATGTTCCTTCAGTTGCAATAGAGGCCCCTGATGGGATTGAGGGGTTTTTTCCCTAGCAGGGCTGAGGGTTCCGGGAGTCGACTGCTCTGCACAAACCCTAAGCCATAAGATCCTAAAGCCCCCTGGATAAAGCAATGGAAACCACCCAAAATCCCTGAACCCTAGACCCTCAACCCTAAACCCTAAACCCTGAACCCTAAACCCTCAACCCTCAACCCTCAACCCTAAGCCCATTACTTGGAAACCGAAGCCTCAAACCCGGAACAAGCAGTCGGGTGCCTGAGGTTGGAAGCGGCTGCACGTTGGGTGCCTGTGCCCCTGGCCATGGCAAGAGACTCCAACACATCCCTTACTTAGTTTTCTTAAGACTATTCCTTACATCATATAGAGGTTTTAGGGGCTCTAAAGCGTATTCCCTAAATCATGCGGGTGTGTAGGGTTCAGGGCTCTTAAGAAAATTCCTTAAAATCATGTGGATGCTTGGCTCTGAGGTTCTTAACAAGATTCCTTAGATCATATGGGGGGTGTAAACAAGAACCGGGTCCTCTTCGGGGTCCTTGCTAGAAGGGTGCCGTGCCCTAGAGCAGAGCCAAGAAGGCATCTGACTAGTTAAGAGAGGCCCCGATGTTAAAGGTTTAGGGCTGAGGGTTTGGGGTTGCGGGTTAATATAGGGTTTAGGGTGCCAGGGATGAGATTCTAGCGTTTCTGGCTTGGCCTCGAGTGCAGGGACCTCCGGGGTTTACGGAACGAGTGTAAATTTACCGGACTTATGGGCTTGGAGCCTTCTTTGGGTTGCTGTTAATCTCAGTCACGATAAGGAAACAAGGACATGTTTGGAATTTGGGTTCCATACTTCGAGGTTCATGGGTAGTGAGAAGTCGGGTCAAAAAGGCCTTCTTAAGGGGGGTGCCTTGCTCATAAGCTTACTTGCAACCACCCATGAACCTTCGAGTACGTAGCCCTAAACCCGACACCCTAAACCCTAAGCCGCTAAACCCTAAACCCTAAACCCTAAACCCTAAACCCCAAACCCTAAACCCTAAACCCTAAACCCTAAACCCTAAACCCTTCCAGGTACCTCCCTGAAGGAGGGCGAGGCACCCCTGGCCGACGAGATGGTCGTGATCGGGCGCGCGGCCCTATGCCAAGGGACTTTGCTCGAAGGGACTGCTCCCGAAGATGCCCTTGCATAATCCCCTTGAAAAGGGAAGATGTAGGGCCCTAAGCCCTAAACCCCAAACCCTAAACCCCAAGCCCGAAACCCTGAACCCTAAGCCCTAAGCCCTAAACAGCCCTAAGCCCTAAGCCTTAAGCCCTAAGCCCTAAGCCCTAAGCCCTAAGCCCTAAGCCCTGAACCCTAAACCCTACACCCTACACCCTAAATCCTCAACCCGTTTTAATTTTCCCATGCCCCACTGAGAACAAGTAAGCTTTTAAATTCCCCAGGCATGAAGGGTCCAGCGTCCCTAACTACGGTGAGGCCTATGACGGGTGCAGGGTTAAGGGTAGGTAGGGTTTAGGGTTTAGGGTTTGGGGTTTGGGGTTTGGGGTTTGGGGCTTGGGGTTTGGGGTTTAGGGTTTAGGGTTTAGGGGCTGGGCTCCAGGGCTGTAGGGTTAGAGGGTGAGAGGGTGGGGTTGGGCTCCAGGGTTGCAGGTGCAGCAGGAAGTGAAACTGGCCGGCCAGGGGCTTCTGAACCCCAAAGCCTTGAACCCTAAATCCTTAGCCCGAAACCGCCCCAAACCCTAAACCCTAAACCCTGAACCCCCTGAAGCCCTAATCGTTCTGGTCAGGCCCGGCGTGCGCCACGCCGAGCCCGGCGCCAAAGAAGCGCACGTCCAGGTGGGGCTTGGGATTTTGTGACTTAGGGTTTAGGGTTGAGGGCTTCGAGTTTAGGGTTTAGGGTTTAGGGATTTTTGGTTCTGTGTTTGAGGTCATTATTGGTTTGGGATTTGGAGGTGCTTGGGGAGTTGCCGCAGAAGCAGTGAAGGATAGGAGGGAGGAAGAGAGAGAGAGAGAGAGAGAGTGAGAGAGTGAGTCAGGACGACCCCTTCGGGGGAGGAAGAGAGAAACACCAGTTCCGATTGTTTCGTAATATGTGACGTGCAGTCATTGTCCGATTGTGGAGGGTTACCTGATACCAGCTCCCAGCCCACCCCAGACCCTTGGGAGGATCCAAAAAGTCGAGCCCCCCAATTTGTTGCTATTGGGTAATTCTTAGGGACCCAACCCTGAGCCCTAAATCCTAGACTCAAAACCCTAAACCCCAAACCCCGAACCCTAATCCCTAAATCCTAAACCCTAAACCTAAGCCATAAACCCTAAAATCTTACGGGTATCTACTTTTTGGATCCTCCCAGGGGTAGGGTGTGAAAGGCAGACTGGACATTGCTTGGAGGAGACGGAGTAGGGCGACCAAAGCACAGAGAAATGGCAGAGCCAGGGCGATCGCCCTAAACCCTGACACCCGGGTTTAGGGTTTAATGTTTCGGGTTTAGGGTTTAGGGTTTCGGGTTTAAGGTCTCGGGTTTCGGGGTCAGGGTTGAGGGTTTAGGGTATGGCGTAGCCCGTTTGGGGGGCATAGGGGGATCCGCAGTCGAGTTCTAATCGCCCCACAAGTAGAGTTATCCGGTAATCGCCCCAGAACCTGAACCCTACTTGGAGGTTCATGGTACTTATTAACCCTCAACCCTAAACCCTAAACCCTAAACCCTAAACCCTAAACCCTAAACCCTAAACCCTAAACCCTAAACCCTAAACCCTAAACCCTAAACCCTAAACCCTAAACCCTTTTCACTGTACTTACAACCATAAGGCCACCCTGATCCTCCAGTGCCCAAAGTCAGGGCCCCTGTCTTAAAAAAGTGGCGCTGTCTTCCGAGTTTCTTTCTCTCGCCGCAAACCCTAAGCCCTAAGCCCCAAACCGTAAACCCGGAGCCTCGTGAAACAAGGGGCTAGTACAGGGGTCGGAATAGTTACTTAATGGTATTCCCTGATGGCCCCTACATACATATACTACATATACTTACACGATATGTATATATATATATATATATCTATATATGCATACATATACTTCTGCGGTATACACTTATACTCTATAGACTTATACTATTCGCGCACCGAAAAAACCGTATTCCTAGTGATTATAAGAGACCCGAAAGAATAGCCCGAGCAGGCGGTGCTGAAGTACATCGAGGTGCTGAAGGAGACCTTGTCCCCGCCTCAGCTCGTGGTTGTCGACTGGGTTCGGGGTTTCGGGGGTTTAGGGTTTAGGGTTTTGGGTTTAGGATTTCGGGGGTTTAGGGTTTAGGGTTTAGGGTAGAAGACCTCCTCTCCCCCAAGCAAGCCACCACAGAATCCCCCAAGGCACTATGTGCTTTAAGGAGTCATGAGTAGGGTTGAGGGTTTGAGGTTACTACTTGAAGGTTCATGGGTAGTTCCAAGTCGGGTCATAAGTACCTAAACTCAGGTTATAACATCGGTTAGCTGACTTATGACACTCCAATCGTAAGCCTTCTGGGGGTTTCCGAAACTAGGGGTACATTTTTGGGGTCCTTATTGTAAGGGAATCCTACTATTTGGGGGTGTATATCAGGGGTCCCCTATTTATTTCTTAAACCCCCTTCTCCATGTTATCTGTGTTGATGAGAAGCAGTTCACATGAAATTTACCATAGCATGGGCTCTGCAAAGAAAGGAGCCCTTTTGTTCTGGTAGCTTCTGTTTAAGTTCCCTTAGCTCCGCACCCCAGACCTCCTGTCCCGGCTCAGAGGCCGCGGTGTCACCACCTGCGCAAGAGCAATGTGAAGCCCTGAGATTCTAGGGTCCTTAAGGGAGTGGGGTTCGAATACGCCCACTACTCCCTCACTTCCCTAGGTACCTCCCCATGAAACCACCCTCCCTTAAGAACCCTAAACCCTAAACCCTATAAGCCCTAAACCCTAAACCGTAAACCCTAAACCTTAAACCCTAAACCCTAAACCCTAAGCCCTAAAACCTAAGTAATCGCTTGCAGCACGAAGCGCCTTTAGCCAGCAGGCCTTCGCCGCAAGAAAACAACGCGCCGAAGCGCGAGTCGGCTCGGGGGGGCTAGTTATATAGGGTTTAGGGTTTAGGGTTTAAGGTGTAGCGCGCAGGGATTTTTAGTGACATATTTTTTGTAGGGTGCAGGGTTTGATGATCGTTCTCATGCCCTGAAACGCGAAAGCCCCGCAGACGGGGGGGCGGTAAAAGAGTCCAGTGCTTTGAAGGTTCATGGGTTGCTAGGTAGGGTTTAGGGTTTAGGGTTTAGGGTTAGGGTTTAGGGTTTAGGGTTTAGGGTTTGGGGTTTGGGGTTTGGGGTTTGGGGTTTGGCGTTTGGGTTTGGGGTTTGGGGCGGGGTTTAGGGTTGAGGGTTGCAAGCACCACAAGTACAGCTATCATACAGGCTACTTCACCGCCAACCCACTAGCTATGAACCTTGGAGTATTTTTCGGGCTCCCGTTGGCCTTGAACCGGAGCCCATGTGAACCTTAAAAGAATGCTCTCCCCTAAGACCTTGAGCCCCTAAGCCTGGCAAATCTTCGAAGGGCCAAAAAGGCCTTCAACCTTAACAGCCCTACATAAGCATCCCCAAGCCCAAGCGGCCCTCCGCAGCTTCCGGCCCGCACGCGCGCGTCCCAAAGCTGGATGCGCACAGGACCCAGGCCACCTCTAAACCCTAAGAAAATTCCTAAACCTGAATCCCAAACCCCCTAAACCACCCAAAGCCTAACCCCGAAGCCCCCCGTAACCCCCTAAGCCCCCTAAAGCACCCTCAAGCCAAAAACGCCCCCAACCCCCCCCCCCCCCCCCCTCCAAGCGTAACTTTCAAACACTGAAATCGGGGACGTAGATCTCTGAGTCCTGCCACTATGGAAGCAGGGCCGCCAGGCCCAGACATCTGAGTTTAGGGTATAAAATTATAGCGTTTAGGGTTTCAGGTTTTTAGGGTTTCGGGTTCAGGGATTAGGGGTTCAGGGTTTTGAAGGGTTAGGACAATGAGGGTTGAGCTGTTTGGGGCTTGGTGCTTCGGAGTTTGGGGTTCAGAAGGGATTCAGGGGACATCTGAATCTGAGATCTGTGGTGAAGAGCCCCCAAAAAAGCCGAAAATACTCGAACCCCCCCCCCCCCCCCAAAGCCGCAAGCCCTCCTCCTGGTCTGCCGTAGGCCACGCCGGCACCCTGAAAGACCTCCACAAGACGCTCTTCGCCTTGAAGCGCGCGTCCCGCTGGCAGGCATGGCGAGGGGGGGGGGTTGGTTAGGGTTGAGGGTTGAGGGTTGAGGGTTGAGGGTTGAGGGTTGAGGGTTGAGGGTTGAGGGTTGAGGGTTTAGGGTTTAGGGTTTAGGGTTGAGGGTTTAGGGTTTAGGGTTGAGGGTTGAGGGTTGAGGGTTTAGGGCGGTGAAGAGGTGTTGAGGACGCGGAGGATTGCAGGGCACGGTGTAGATTGTAGATCTGGGCCGATGTCCGGTTGGTAGTGTCCCCTGATGGGCCCTACATAGCAAGAATGGAAAACAGGTATAGTTGCGAACATTATATATACATATGCAGACGTATAAGTTTACAACATGTGTACATATTTCTATATATATATATATAGATTATACTGATTATAGATATGATGCTTCCTATTTTTGACTATGATCATATTCTGTCCCAGTCTGCCCCCCAGCCCAAACCTTCAACCCTCAGTCCGACACATCCTCAGCCCTCCACCCCGCACTGCCGGGTTTAGGGTTAAGGGTTTCGGGCCACCCTTTACCCTACACAGGGGCCCTTCTTACCCGGATTCACCCTAAACCCTAAACCCGAAACCCTAAACCCAATCCCCCCCCCCCCCCCCCTCCCACTCCCGGACACGGGAAAGCCCAAAGGAGGCCGTCGCCACCGTGCTCTCCGGCCCGCACACGCCGAAGCTCGGCCCCTCGGCACCCTGAGTGGCGTCTTGCTATTCCTTTTACAAGGGTTTAGGGTTTAGGGTTTAGGGTTATAGGGTTTAGGGTTTAGGGTTTAGGGTTTAGGGTCTTGGGGTTTCGGAACCTTAAAACCCAAAACTGGTGCCTCCTGCCCAAGGCCTGGTGGCCTTCACTGCGGCACTGGGCGCTTGCACTGCGGGGGCCAAGTGGCAGGTGGATTCGAGGGTTTATGTTTTCTGGGGTAGGGTTTAGGGTTTAGGGTTTTGAGTTTTGGGTTTAGGGTTTAGGGTTCAGGGTTTAGGGAGTAGGATTTAGGGTTTAGGGTTTAGGGAAAGAGGGTTTAGGGTCCAAGTTTGAGCGTAGGCCTGTCGCAAGTCGTTTTCAGGGTCCAGGGTGTTTTGAGATTCGGCTTGAGCGGTTTATCTTTCAGAGCTTGGGGGAGTTTCGCAGCTTCACGCCGACGAGGCTTGGTTTGGGTTGTAAGCCTGCTCCCAAAGTCCCACATCCCGCTGCAGGAGCCGAACAAATTTGCCAGCATCATCTCCATGAAGTCCCTAGCTAGTCGTAAATTTGAGTCTGAACACCAACTACCCACATGCCACATGAAATAGGCCCTACCACTACTTCAATAGACCCCGACAGAACCCCAAACCCTATGGATACCCCTAAAGGCGGCGCTTGCGATGCTGCCGGCCATGCTGCACCCTGGCAAGAGGGTTTAGGTTTTAGGGTTGAGTTTCCAGACTCCCCCTCCATACCCTCAATTGCTCCTAAGGCCCTTAAGAAGCCCAAGCCGTAAGCCCTAAACCCCTAGCCTAAGCCATAAAGACTAAACCCTGAACCCTAAATCCTAATCCCTAAATCCTAACCCATAAACCTTGAACCCTAAACCCTAAACCCGGAACCCTAAATCCTAAACCCTAAGCCCGTCCGCGCTCTCACCTCTGTTGGGGCAGGCGGGCGCCGTCGAGCGCTCAGCGAGACCATGGCCTGCAGCCGCACCCCCTGAAGGGGTCGCCAAGCTTGGTCGCCAAAAGCTTAGACAAAGAGGGGGTAACAGGGTTTTCGCGCTCGACTGGCTCGCGCGTCCTCCCCTTATTGGCCGGAGCTCCCTGGCAGGCCCTTAGGAGGCCCCTGTCCGCCCTGGGGAAGCCTTCGCAAGGCCTGTTTAGGTCACAGGCACAAGCCTCCAGGAGCCCTCCCTCGCAGGCTTCGTGCTCTGGTGAGTCCCTGCAGACTTGCCAGGAGCCTTGGCAGCCTGCAAAGCTTGTGCCAAGTGATTCAAGTCCCAAGTGCTCGCGCGAGCCTTGGGAGCCCCTGCCATTGGATTTCCAACAAAAATTGCTCAGGCCGAATTCTGGAGCCTGAAAGTTTCGATGAGACACGATTCCCTGAACGTTGGCTCGAAGCCTCAAGTTTGATTTCAAAATCATTTGGCTTTGGCTTTGCGATTCTGAGAGATGAATTGAATCCAATCGGCTTTGGGTTCGCTGTGCGTTGTGATGTGGGTGGTCTCGGGGTGGGCATCTTCATACTACTGCGTTCAGCTGACCAGTGCTGCACCCTGAGCCTAAGCCCTAAACCCTACCCCTTATCCTAAACCCCAAACCCCAAACCCCAAACCCCAAACCCCAAACCCTAAACGCCAAACGCCAAACCCCAGACCCCAAACCCCAAACCCCAAACCCCAAACCCAAACCCCAAACCCCAAACCCCAAACCCCAAACCCCACACCACAAACCCTAAACCCTAAACCCTAAACCCTAAACCCTAAACCCTAAACCCAAAACCCAAAACCCTGAACCCCAAACCCATTAAAAGACTTTAAAAGCCTTTGGTGCTGGCCTCAAGGAGCCGGTGCCTCCGCCCAGATGCCGTCGCTCGGAGCCCCTGCCTGGATAGCTACGTTTAGGGTTTTTAGAGCAGTTTAGGGTTTAGAGTTTAGGTTTAGGGTTTAGGGTTTAAGGTTTGTAGGGTTTAGGGATTGTCGGGTGTGCGGTTTGCGGATTTTAGGGTTTTAGGTTGAGGGTTTCGAGGGTTTGCAGGGTTTATAAAGCTTATAGCATTTACAGGGTTTAGAGGTTTGAAAGGGTTCATAGGAGGGTTTTTCGGGCTTCGGGTTGAGGGTCTGGGGCTTGGAGGCAGGCTTGAGGGGCTCTAGGGGTAGGGTTTAGGGTTTAGGGTTGAGGGTTAGGGGTTTTTGCTGGTAGCCCCGAACGCCCAGGGTCCCGACCACGCCCGCCCAAAGGAACGCCGTGCTTGCGGCCTTGGGCGTGGCGCTGTGCCTCCTCGCGCACCTCAAGCCCTAAACCTTAAACCCGAAACCCTACACCCTAAACCCTACACCCTAAACCCTAAACCCCAAACCCTAAAATTAAACCTTCAACCCAGACCCTAAACCCCAAACCTTCAAACCCTAAACCGTAAGCCGCGACCCTACGGCCGAATCAACCCTGGCGGCTTCACATCCTGACCCCGAAGGCCCTGGAAGCCCACGCTCCCAAACTCAAAAAAAGGGGCACCCTCATGGGCTACCAAGAAAGGCAGGAGTCATTGTTCATTTCCCGATTCCTCAATCATGGTAGCGTGGTAATAGATGTTCGAAAGGTACACCTAGTACCGTGCTGCAGAACCTTGAGCCCAGAACCGACTGAAGCTGTGGACTGATAAGGCTGAGCAACCAAGGTTCAGAAAGCCCGCGAAGCAGCCCGGCACCCCTACCTCCTGTAAACCCTAAACCCTAAACCCTAAACCCTAAACCCTAAACCCTAAACCCTAAACCCTAAACCCTAAACCCTAAACCCTAAACCCTAAACCCTAAACCCTAAACCCTAAACCCTAAACCCTAAACCCTAAACCTTAACACTTAAATCGTATATTG